GCCCTGGGTGTTTTAGAGGAACATGGAGGTAGTTTAAATGTGAATTTGTAAAATCCAGGTCAGCAGGCATCTTTAAAAGATTGTAATAATAATATGCCCACACATTTTTTTTTTTTTTTTTTACAAAGGAGTTTAACATCCTCATTCTTCATTCCAGCCTTTTACAAATCCTGTGAGATAAAGAAGGCAGGCATAGGCATTAGAGAGCAAATGTCGTTGGCAGATGAAGGCACAAACCCAGAGGTCCTGATCTTTCCAAGGTCCTATGGCTGCTTTTGATCCATGGCAGGGGTGACTCCTGTCTACTCCCTGTGCTTTTTATAAGCAGCGAGAATGCATTTGTGGGTTTACTCTCAGTGTATTTCAGGCTTATCCAAGTCTAGTAGTACTGAACTTTTTTCTTTTTTTAAACTAATTGTAATTATACAGTTGTCACTTGTGAAAGGCATTGTAAAAATAGGGGTTTAGTATCAGCTACTCTGGAGTCAGACTGTCTAGCACAAAATTTTAGCTCCACCAACTTACTGGCTCTTACCTATTCTTTTACACCCTGTTTTATAATTTGTAAAGCTCATTATCTAAGTGTAAATACAATGACTAGCATACTAATTTACTGACTTAAACACACACACACACACACACACACACACATACACACACACATTAACTACAGGCTGGCAGGTAGTGTGGTTGAGGGACTGGATTTCCACATGGCTGACCATAGTTCAACACCTGGAGGCTGGCTTTCTCACTTTCTCTCTCTCTCTGGTGAGTGCATGAGCCTTATAGCAAATAAAAAAACAGTAATAATAAGTAAAAGAAAGTAATTCTTTTAAAAATATTAACTAAATTGGGTTATATATTAGTATATTATTTCTGTTTTACAGATGGAAATTGAGGCTCATAAATGGTAACTTGTGAGCAAAACTTAAATCCAGGTCTTCTCAAATCCTCTCTAGTACTCTGTGATAAAATTGTGAATAAAATAAGATGAATTTTAACATATTTTGTTTTACTGGATTAATATAGGGCTCTTGGAAGAATAACTTTTTGGGTATGGACAATGCATTTTCTTCCATGAACAATTAAGCTCTGGGGGTTACATTCCTATACTTGGAGAATATAATTTGCCAGCTCTGTATCTGGCCACACCCTACTCCCAGTGTCTTCCATTCCAGCCACACCCAAGTTGTTAGCAGTACCCATTCATTTATCTTGCCCTTGCAGTTCTTTGGGACTTTGTACCGATTCCAAACTTCCCCTCCCTTGTGCCAGCTCCTGCTTCTCTGATAGCCTCCCCCAACATTGTGGACTCCTGGTGCAGGGACCATGTCTTTCAGGCTTGGTATATGGTAGTGTACAATAAGAAACATAGCTTTTAAGCCAAAAGCCATCATTATGCTGGCGTTTCCCAAAGTCTGGGTAGACCGTCTGCATCAACCACTATGATTTAACATTGTTCTGGAGGTATTGGCCAGTGAGTTAGAGAGAAGTGAAATAGATGCAGGGCTGGACTGGTAGCACAGAGATTAAGCCCTGCACGTAGGGACCAGGATGCTCTGGTTTCAACCTGAGCCCCAGTGACTTGAAAAATATGCCTGGCATGTGTGTGAGCATGCCCCTAATCCTGAGAGGATGGAGAAATGGAGAAGGAAGGGTTGTTGTGTGACTTCACCCCATGGTGTGTGTGTGTGGATTCTCTCCCTCTCTGTCTCACTGGCAAATCCATGTGCCCTGTGGGGGGTGGGGGGGAAAGAACAGATACAGTTTTTTTAATTTACAGAAAGGTGTGTATTCTTGGAAACCCCAGGAGGCTCAATTTTTAAATGTTTCAAAAAGTACAGTATTTAACTGTGATGAAGTGGTATAAAAAGAGAAAGAGATAGTTCTTTGTAAAACTATAAGAGGCCAGTTAGTGGTGCAGCTGTAACGCAATGCTGTGCAAGGCTGACTCATATGGGAAGGTTCCAGGTTCACGTCTGGCGACCACCCTAAACATGCTAGGCGTGTAAGCTCGTGATCTGGGCCTGGCTATAGCTGGGGGTGAATTGCAGAGTCAAGACCCTGTTGAGGATAAGCCTCTGTCTCTTTATCTCACAGAAGAAGGAAATATATAAACTTCTTCTTTTTTTTTTTTTTAAGAGAGTTTTGCTGTGGGGCATGTGCTCACTAGAGAGACAGAAAGTGAGAAATCACTTCCTGGAGGGATAGCCACGCTGCATTCCCTTCCCCATTTTCCTCTTGGGATTTTGGGCACACACGTACATGCGCCTGGCGCCAGGGAAATACATAAACCCTGAAAGCTGTGAAAGACTTCTTGACTGGTAATTAGTGTCATATTGCTATAATAAAGATGTTGGTTCTCATTTATTTAGAAAAATAAAATATTGAGAGTACCCAAGAAAATTGTGACTTTTGTGGAAGAATAAGGGGAGGGAGATTAACTATTTTACTTTATTAGATATTAAAATATAAAAATATTACATAAAATATTTATATAATATTAAAATAGAATAAAAATGAAAATAACTTGGTATTATTATTGGAATCAAATCTAAACACAGTAGTCCGAAGATAGACCTTCATATAAAAGGGACTCTTTGAAGAAAGTAGCTTTTCACATAGAGAAGATATAGGTTACTCTGTAAATGTGGATAGGGAAACTGAACAGCCATCTAGAAAAATAATTGGATCTCTTCCTTATTCCTTAGATGAACCATGAAAATGCTAAAATAAAACTGAACACATCTATATTTTTGGAGTGAAAGCGTTTTACAGGCATGATATGTAATAATGCACTTGCCTATGTTTAAACTTTTGCATGCCAAAATACTGGACAATGGACCTTACAAGTACAAGTCTAAAAATAAACCAGAAAATATTTGTAACAATTAGCATGAGAAATTTCTATAATATATAAAGAAATGTTCATCTAGGCAAAAAAACAAAGGAAATTCTAAAATTTTTGAAACAAGAAAAGGTATTACAGTTTTCTCAGAATGCACACACAATTTTTTAGATTGAATACAAATTAAATGGTGAGGGTGTGGAGAGAAGGCAGACTTCCATCTGCATTTTAGGAGGAAGTTTAAATTGATTAGGCATTTTTGTAGAAATTTGGCAATAGCTCCCAAAATAAATGCATATGGCTGTGGATCTAGCAGATTGATTCACAGAAATTTTTCTTGTATATACACGTATAAAGAGGATGCAAGGATATTCATTGTGGAATTGCAACAGTTTAAACAGTTCAAATTTCCATATAAAAGGAGTTCCATGAAGCCTATGAAAATGTTTGGTTAAGCGAAGGAAACAAATATGCAGTATAAAGTAGGGTGAAGACAGATGAATAATAATGATACATAGTGATACGTAGTACTATTATTTCTTGAAAGAAATACAAGAAACTAATTAGTTGTTGCTGGAAAAGGAACTGGGAGACTGGGATCCAGGCTTACTGCTCACTCTGGACCCTTCTGTGTTTTTTGTTTGTTGGAATGCTGCTTTGTTTTTTTGTTTTTGCTAGAGAGTGTGTGTGCATGCCAGAGAGAGACAGAGACAGTAAGAGAGGGAGGGAGAAAATGCCCCCCATGAGAAATGGTCACACCACAATCTCTTCTTCACCCTTCCCTCCTTTTGGGATTTTGGGCACACACACACATGTATCCAGCATGCTTTTCAAGTCACCAGTCTAGGACTTGAACCATGCAGTAGCCATGTGTGAGATCCAGCTGCCTTAACCACTAGGCCACTGAGCCGGCCCACGACACTTTCTTAAGTCATGTGTGTAGACTGCCTGTTCAGCATATTGATATGAATAAAACCTTTGCTTCTGTGTTTTGAATAGGACATGTTTGGATAAGGTTTATTATCCCA